GAGATGTACGGGAGTGGAATGCCTCATCCTGGGAGCAGGTGCTGCGGAGGCGAAGGAATTGGGAATAGGGGATGGCATTTTTGCAGGAAGGTGGGTGGGAGGAGGTGTACTCTAGGTAGCTGTGGGAGTCGGTCGGCTTGAAATGGATATCGGTTTCTAGGTGGTTGCCCGAGATGGAGACAGAGGTCCAGGAAGGAGAGAGAAGTATTAGAGATGGTCCAGGTGAACTTAAGGTTGGGGTGGAAGGTGTTGGTGAAGTGGATGAACTGTTCGAGCTCCTCGTGGGAGCACGAGGCGGTGCGGATACAGTCATCAATGTAACGGAGGAAGAGGTGGGGTTTAGGGCCAGTGCAAGTATGGAAGAGGGATTGTTCCACGTAACCTACAAAGAGGCAGGCATAGTTTGGGCCCATGCGGGTACCCATGGCCACCCCCTTTGTCTGTAGGAAGTGGGAGGAATTGAAAGAGAAGTTGGTGAGGACGAGTTCGGCTAAGCGGATGAGGGTGTCAGTGGAGGGGGACTGGTCGGGCCTGCGGGACAGGAAGAAGCAGAGGGCCTTTAGGCCATCTGTATGGGGAATGCAGGTGTATAGGGACTGGACGTCCATGGTGAAGATGAGGTGTTGGGGACTGGGGAATTGGAAGTTCTGGAGGAGGTGGATGGCGTGTGTGGTGTCACGGACGTAGGTAGGAAGTTCCTGGACCAAGGGGGAGAAAATGGAGTCCAGATAGTTGGAGATAAGTTCGGTGGGGCAGGGGCAGGCGGAGACAATGGGTCGACCAGGGCATTCAGGTTTGCGGATTTTGGGAAGGAGATAGAAGCGGGCAGTGCGAGGTTGGGGAACGATGAGGTTGGAGGCCGTGGGTGGGAGGTCACCTGAGGTGATGAGGTCGTGGATGGTTTGGGAGATGATGGTTTGGTGCTCGGGGGTGGGGTCATGATCAAGGGGGCGGTAGGAGGTGGTGTCGGAGAGTTGGCGTCTGGCCTTGGCGATGTAGAGGTCAGTGCGCCATACTACAACTGCGCCTCCCAGAACATAGCAGCCTATTTGATTAACTCCACACCCACCACCTTAAACATTCACCCCTGCAATACCAATGCACAGTGGCAACAGTGTGTCTTTACGATGCACAGCAGCAAATCACCAAGGATCCTTAAACTTCACTTTCCAAATCTGTAACCTCTACCACCTAGAAGGATAGAGGCAGATGCATGGAAACACCATCAGTTGCAAGATCCCCCTCTAGCCACTTTTCAACCCATCTTGGAACATATATTAGCATTTCTACACTGTCACAGGGTCAAACTCCTAGAACTTTATACCTAATAGGAGCACTTACTACTTACTCCCCAAAGCATTCAGAGGCTCTAAAGGCAGCTCACTACAACTTTTTCCAGGATAATTAAGCATAGGCAATAAATGCTGGCCGAGCTGGTGCCCATATTCCCTTGAATATATATATAAAAAAAAAAGTACAGATTAGGCAAAAGTAGCTCAGACTTCAGAAGCTGATTGCCTACATCTCTGCCTTTTCAATAACAATTTCCATTTATGTAGCATCTTTAACATTGTAAAATGTCCCAAAACATTTCACAAGATATGAACAAAATTTGACATTCAACCATATGGAAGAGTGGAATGGATGAGTAAACACCTGATCAAAGAGACAAGAAGCATTATAAAAGGAAAACAAACGGGTGAAGACATTAGGGTGAAAATTCCAGATTCTGGGGCTGAGGCAATTAAAAACACAAACCACCAAAACTGGAGAAATTAAAATAAAGGGTAGTGTGCAATCAACACCTCTTATGCCAATCAACACCTCCTGTCATAACACACACTCAAGGTAGGACTGATACTGAGAGCAGAGTTCCAATGTCTTGGTACCTATTCAGATCAGTTGCAAGTTACATTGCAGGTGATAATTGCTTTCACAAACATTCAGTGATAGTAAGGATGTCAGCACCGTGTTTACATTTATACAGCAGCTCAGCTCCCTTTAGAGTTTTACCATCTCAACAGTCTTCAATATGGAGCAAGAGATCAACATAGTCCATGAATTTAATCACGTTGGTTCCAATGTCACGCCTCAAGTGACAAATATTGCACAGTACCTCTGTCTTTTTCCCTCTCTCTGCAGCATTGGATGTTCTTTTTCCAGCACGTCTCTATGCTTTGTCAATTCTATTATTGCTGGACCAATTAACAGAATGAACTCTTCTGAGAGTTCATTCCAGTTCTCAATTCCCTCAGTGAGAAAATATAATACTGCAGAGAGCTCCACCTAGCGGTTCAGTTGATGTCCAAATAAGAAACACAAGTCTAGCCTCCTGCTGACAGAAGTATAATTGCAGTCTGCTGACTGCCAAAGGGTCATAATGACAAGAACAAAATGAACTTCATGCTTCTGAATGTATCCCGTCTGTGGCATTTTCTGTTCTGAAAAGTGGTCACTTGAGGTCAAGAGAGTTAAGTCACCTTCGTATTCGATCTGTGACATGACTGGTGGCACAGTTCAAACATGAAAGTGCTCAGAAGACATGGGTTTTAATTGAACAAAACTGCACCCAGGATCAATCCGAAACTGACTTCAAAATGATAATTAAGGCTGGGATGGAATGGTCATCCAGTGGACAGCCTATAATTGAAACAAAAACTTCCTCCAAGTCCCAATTAATGCATTATCAACAATTTCAACCTTTTCATTACTCCATGTTTGATGATTTAGCACAACATATGACAACACTGTAACTTTGTGTGATTAGTTACACTTCTTTAAACCCTCAAAGTTTCAGACTTGATCATAAATATTTACCTCTGAAGAAACCGATCGTAGGACTGTCGATAAGCAAACCCTGCCCTTCGGACACGAACATTCTCCATTAAACCTAAATATTCAACTTGGTGCTGACAGCGCTGATCATCAAACAGCAGTGGAGATTTCTGCTCATTGGGCTTGATACAACGGACATAATAGGGCTCCTGCCAAAGAGAAATGGTCATCTATAAATTCTCACATTCAATGGGCAAAACAGTTTTGATAATGCTGTGCAATGAATTTCATATGCAATCCAGTGCTGATGAACATGTGTGTGAATGGATCACGACAGAACCTTAAATCTATGTATCAATTAGGCCAATCTCGCCCATAGGTACCATATAGTGTTTTGGTACGCATACAATATAGGAGCAATAGCACAAATGGCAATATAGCTATACAATTTGCTTACACTGAATCAGTCACACCTTGTACTTGAGTGTCTATACAGCACATTATTCTGTTTCCAGAAACACTGCAAATGCTTGGAAGTCAATAATTATACTCTCCGATGTTATCCGTAGTTCAAGGAGTAATGGTGCAAGACTTTTTGAAATTCTTTACACATCATGGGAACCACTGATGGTTATTCTTTGTAGAATTGCAAATATACAATATGAACCATGTTGACATTTATACTCTGTTTGAACCGCCTCCCCTACTTTCACATGGTCTCCAGCAACATATCGTCTATTGTCTAAATTCTCCCTGATATACTTATTTAGTTCCCACTCAAATCACTTATTATTCACTACTCCTTGTGGCAGTGAATTCCATATTCTCACCACTCGCTGTCTGAATCTCACTCGATGCCTTGGTGATTATCTTATATTGATTAATTCTTCCTGACTGCACCAGCTTGATCGGGATCTTTCATAATTTTAAAGGCGTCTACGAGGACACCCTTCAGCCTTCTCCTTCCAGGAGAAAAAGGAGGCCCTGTGGGTTAATTCTATATGGATAGGTATAAACTTGCATTTCCTGTATCATCTTTGTACACATTTTGTATCCTTTCCAGTGCATCTTTACACGTTTTACAAATGGCAACTCTTTCATTATGTGGTTTAACATCACGCGATGCATTTAGGGTCAAGACAGACTGGTTCAGGAGAAGGCAGAGTTAAGAACAGTCTTCATGATTAGACATCAAATTAACAGTATTATTTATACATTAATACTTAGTACAGCTGTATGTGGTAATCATAGATATACCAGGGTCTGATCTTATAGTTGCATTAATTAGACACTAATCTATCTTCATGTGTTCATGTCCATATGTTCTTTAGTTCTAGTGCTCCAGTTCCTGTAAACTCCAACTCCACCCACAATCTGCTACTTAACGCTCAGGGAAGTATAACTCCATGACATCAACAAAAGTTTGCTCCAGCATTCTGAAGCCCATACAACACAACAGCAATCATTTTATGGACTTGACATACACGTCCAAGTGTGGTCTAACCAAAGGCTTACACAAGTTTAGCATTGTTCCTTTTCCAATGCTTTCCCTCTAGAATAAAATCTTTGATTGGTTTTCTTCAGTGGCCTCATGAACCTGTGATTTCTAGTGATTCATGTACTTAGGAATCAGAGTCAATAAGCATGGAAACAGAGCCTTTGGTTCAACTAGACCACACTGACCATGTTCCTAAACTAAACTAGTCCCATATCCCGCTGAACCTTTCCTATTCATGTACTTATCCAAATGTCTTTTAAATGTTGAAACTTTACCTACATCCACCACTTCCTGTGATGGTTCATTCCACACACTAACCGCTCTTTGCTGCCCCTCATGGCCTTTTGAAAAGATCTTTCTCCTCTCACCTTAAAAATATGTTCCTTAGTTTTGAACTCTTCCACTTTAGGGAAAAGACCTTTGCTATTCACATTATCTATGTCCCTCATGATTTTATAAACATTTAAGGTCACCTTTCAACTCCTATGTTCCAGTGAAAAAGGTCCCAGCCTATCTTTATAACCTAAACCCTTCATTCTCGCAACATCCTGGTGAACCTCTTCTGAACTTTCTCCAGTTTAATATTATGCTTCATATAACAGGGTGACCAGAGCCGCGCACAGTCCTCCAGAAGAGGCCTCTCCAACATCCTTATATAACCTCAGTATGTCCATCCCAACTTGTATATTCAAAGGTCCAAGCAATGAAGGCAATCATGCTAAATGCCTTCTTAACCACCCCTTCTACCTGTGATGCAAATTTCAAAGGATTACGTACCTAGACCCCTAGGTCCCTCTGTCCTACAACATTACGCAGGGTCCTACCATTAATTGTACGAGTCCTGACCTTGTTTGTTTTACCAAAATGCAATACCTCACATTTATCCAAATTAAACTCCATCTGCCACTCCTCAGCCCATTTACACAATTGATCGCAATCTCTTTGTAATCTTAGATAACCTTCTTCACTGTCCACTATACCACCAATTGTGGTGTAATTCACAAACTTACAAACCATGTCTCCTTTGCTCGGAGACCCTGAGTAAATTTTTCTTTTCCAAACTATACAGATACACATCAACTGATAGTCTCATGTGGCATGTGACTGTCATGACAATAATGCTGAAATAAAAAAAAATTGTATCCAAAAAACTGTACAAAGTACTTGTGAATTATACATGTTACAATTTGTTGATCAGGATTAACATTTAGCATTCTTGAACGGAATCCGAGATGACACTTTGGAGAGAACTTTCAATCATGAATTATAGGAAATATTTTGTTACAATTGACACTAATATAATTCAGACCTCTGATAACATCATTAGATTGTTTTAGACTAAGGCGCACGGACAAAGGATAAATCGATGCACCAGATTCAAAGGAAGTCAACTAAAACAACCAGGAAATCACAAAACAAAATGGTAAGTAACAATTGAGGAAAGAAAATAATATGGAGGGCAGAAACTATTGCTAACAAGTAAAATTCAAAGAAGTGGGATCGGTGGAGTAAAGACACAGAGAAAAGGAAGAAGAGAACCAAGAGAAAGAGAATGGAAGTGAGAGAAAGAAGAGGATAGAGAAAAGGGGAATGATACAGGAGATGGCAGATCAAATGACTGACCAGAGGAATCAGAATTCCTCATTTGCAAATCTGATTAAAATTCTGGCCTGAAAACAGGATCCTCCAAAAATGTGTTTCTAATCTATTCTATACTCCAGTAATATTGCAATCAGGCGATAAACTAAAAATTGCAAATATAAAAGTCAAAATTCAAACTATGCTTACAGTCACCATTCAAAGGACCTCAATTGCCATGCAGTATGAGTTTTGTGCCAGTGTATATCTACAGCAATGCAATGCAGTGCATTATGAAAAGTATATGTGAAATCCTAGATTACAACCAGACTGGACATGCAACAAATTCGTTATGATATCATAATGCCGCTATGCTAGCAATAATATTATTTGAGTTTCATCATTGCTGTCCAGAAGAATTTCCAACACATTAACTCCGGCACATTTCAAGGAGGATTCAAGGATCAAGGACAGCTATTGTGGAAGGAAGACAAATTAAAGGTATAATAATAGAGGGAATTGGAGACTGAAAACATTGCATTTGGGACAAGAATGCAATCAATCACTACTGTCAGCTCAGATGGTTAGTGTCCTGCAAAGTAAATCAAAAGAAAACAGCCAGCACTCTGCAAAGTTCCATCAGGCAAAAAAAAAAGCAATTTTCACAGCATAATGAGAGGCCAAGAGAAAAGATAAGACAGCTTCCCCTGACAACATTAGAAATCAGGTCACAAAAAAGAATACCGTGAACCCTGACACACTGTAGGACTCACCAGATTATCCACATTCAGCTGCAATACTCCCAACACAGATCCATCATCAGAAACAAATCTAGTTCTGGGTTTTGCCAGCAAAATGCTGTTACTGATTAATAAGCAAACTTATCTGAATTATTTAATCTGTATCCATCCAAATGCTTTTTGACACTGACATTTGTGGCTGCTGAAATGGTCACTAAACTTTAAATGACTACAGTGAACTCGTGTACTATGGTATTTACAGGAAACCTATTGCTTGGCTTTAGACATTTTGCTCAATACTCTGGCAAACCACCGAAAGGTTTCTGGTATAAACTGAGCAACAAAGTGATGCCAACAAAATCATGTACGATGAACATTTTACAAAAAAAAAAAGGTTTTATAGCTCAGTCCAACTAGAATGCACGAAGTTTCAAAGGTAGATGACTCAAACTACCCCCTGAAATGACCTAGGAAGCCATTCAGAAGTAATTAGGGATGCCAATGAATAATGGTCCACATTCCGTGAAAAAAAAGAGAAAAGGTACAAAGTTCCATTATACTTGCTACCTCATGCCCTTCCTCTTACTTATCCCTTCTACAAATTCCAAACCAGGATCTAAGGTGGGCTGTTGCACATTGTGGGGCCCTTTGAAATGGTCAGAAGGATAAAAGCAGAATAAACAAGACAGGCCGTGATCCTCCAAGCCAGCTCTATCACTCAGTAAAATAATGGCTGATCTGTTAATGGCCTCAACTCCACTTCTCCTGCCCCTCATAATCTTTGCCTCATTTGAAATAAAAAAAAATCTACCTGATGCAGCATCAAATATATTCAACAATCCAGCCTCAACTGCTCTTTGAAGTTGGTTAATGTTTGGAATTTATCGCAAAGAAATTCCTTCCCATCTCCATCTGAAATATCCACGCAACCGTGATTCTCGATTCCCACAAGGGGAAGCATCTACTTTATCAAGCTCCGTCAGAATCTTGCACGTTTCAATACGATAATCTCTCATTCTTATAAACTGCAATGAGTACAGCCCCAACCTGCTTAATCTTTCTTTGTAACAACCCTTTCATTCCATAATTCAATTGAACGTTCCGTGAGCTGTTTCAAATACAAGTAGATTCTTCTTTCAACAAGGAAACCAAAACGGCATGCAATACTCCAGGTATAGTTTCACCAATGTTCTGTACAATTAGCAAGACTTCCCTACTCTTATACTCTATTTCCTACACTTAAGACCAACATTCTATTAGCCTTTCTAATACTTTCTATGCCTGAATGTTAACTTTGTGATTCACGGACAATGACATCTGGATGTCTCTGTATTGCAGTATCCAGCGGTTTTTCTCTATTTAAATAGAAAGTTGCTTTTCAATTATTTCCAAA